CCTTCCTCCTGCATGCTGGTAAGGATCAAAACACGGCCAATGTTAGCCCAAGTGTTAGGCTACAGCAGAGGAATCATTCCTGCTAATAACGATCTGCGAGTTTAGTTCAAAAACGCATGATCGCACCGGGGAGCCTGGTGCGTCCCAACCTGGGTTGTAATTTGCATACAGGCAAAAACGCATAAAAACTGGTAATCTTGTATCTGGAGGTACATACGGCCCTATAATACAGCACCCTCATCTCAATCGACGCCTTTCTCCTGCGTGTCGGATGAGGCCACAGCGCGGCCAATATGAGCCCAAGTGTTAGGCTATAGTGTAGGGGTCATTCCTGCTATTAGCAAACTGCGAATTTAGTGCAAAAACGCATGATCGCACTAGCTCGGCTGGTGCGTTCCAGCCTGGGTTTCATTTTGTAATTAAAACATACTTCAAATAACATAAAGAATTCACAGCAATACGTTGAATTGCAAGCCCCACTAGATCAAGCCAAGATCTAGACCTCACCAGACATGTCCTACATCTGCTGCTGCTATCACGCAATTTAAACTAAGTTTAAAGTCAGTCTACAAAGCGCAGTACAAACCTGTAGAACCAGGCCTAAGAAACTATATAGTTTCAGGACAGAGTAAAAAGGAACTCATAATTTTGGCTTTTTAGCTTATTAGGCAAAGTTGCCCAAAAAAATTGATACTGGCACTTATGTTGCCCTGACAGCGACTTGTGATCGTACACCTTAACATTAGCTAGGTGCCAAAATGACGATTTCAAAACGAAGAACACTGTAAATTTAACTTGGTCTAAACTTACAATAAAAGAAAGCACAATGAGATATTTGGAGCACAAATTCATTAGTCGCATCAGTGCGTCGTGCTGCAGATCTGCCACATAGCAGTCGCAGAGACGAAGCGTTTTTGGTTCGAGTGCTAAGCAGCATGTAAATAAATCACAGAAATACCGTAGTGTATGTGAACAAAGTGGAAGATTTGAAAACTGTAGGCCCAAAATACGGAAGCGCCGAAAACAATACCTGCAAGTTGCAAAAAAAAAGGAACTGTATCAAATGAATGTTATTCACAATGAGAAGCTCGGTCACGGAACAGCAAGAAAGAGAATTTGCTAAATTAGCCAGACAAATCGTGAAATTTAGCCAAAAAGGGAAAATCCCCGATAGAGTTCAGTAAGAGTTTGCTTGGAAGCTTTCGGAAACGAGAAGACTGGCTCCAAAAGCGTAAATAGATCAATTTAAACAAGTACAGACAGAAAAGAAAAAATATTTCGCATGGAAAAAACTACATTATATTGGATGAAGGGTATTAAAATTGGGTTGCACTTTCTTTGGGATACTGCATGAACTGGCAATATCGATTAAAATTTACTTGTGCAACAAGTCCATATCATTTACTAACTGATTTACAACTAGCTAAAATTTTCTGCTAAAGATCCTTACCGATTCAAGCGCCTGTTGTGGATACATCAACTGCAGTTCATTACATTACGCTTAGAAGGATCCATGTCTTGACAGCTTGTGGTAGGTGGTTGAGGAGAACAGGCGAAGCGCACAGTATGCGCTAAGCCTTGTATGCAGAAGAAAAAAAAATTATGATACGCGTACAAGACGCAGCCAGAAGAGCAAAAATGTTGGCCACTGAGGCGCAAGGAGCGGAAGAATCAAATTAAGTTTTTGAAAGCGATAACAGGATCCGGAAGCACTAAGTTTGCAGAAACAGGAAGGAAGAAGCAATTTCACCCAACATCGCCATTTTTACTGGAATATTCGGATTTGGAGTGCTTTTACTGCGTCGAAAACTGACTACTATTGTGTGACGAGGGCGAGACTGAGCAGAAGAAATTGGGACAACTGTTTTTCACGTGTAACCACATCTCTCAGCACTGAGATAATAGGCTACGAACTTTTGTAGTTCTGTGATTTCTGAAATGGAAATTAAAAAAAAAACTACGGTCGACTGGGCAGACGGTGTGCGGAACCTGTATTAGCTACTGCAAGTGGGAATACTCATTTGCCATATACAGCACGCTTGCCTCTAGTTAATGTCCACCGCCTGTACTGTGCGTGCACGTAACCTCTTCCTAGGTCACCTGAATGGCATCATACTTCTCGCAAGTACCACTTGCCAACACATAGTTTCTTTAGCTGACAACGAAGCAGAAAATTTGTTTGGCCCATGGAATTCTGCTTTCATTTATGGCTGTACCAATATCACAAATGCGGGCTGATCAAAGCCTTTCGAAAATCTGTTAAAAATTCAAGGAGGCGCAAATAAATGTCTTTCCATGCAAGGTGCAAACAGCAGTTCACCGCACTGTCATACAATTCTTTCATCTAAATAGAACGCCCCACTGGTTTATATCTAGTATTCCTCTGATCAAAACTTTTTGCATTTCATGGGATTCAGCATTTCCAGTACTGCATTTGGGCAAAATCCGCAGTGCGTCCGTTGCGAGCTTACCTGAGACTGTAGCAGCAGCCACGCAATACATCAGCTCGTGCAATACCTATCGAATTTTTCTTATTGGAATGACTTTTTTTGAATGTTGCCAATACGAACATATCTTTACTTGTATCGTAAGTTATCGTCAGGCAGGTCACCAGGCGTTGCTGATAGCATTGTCCCAAAAGAATACCGCAAGTTGTTATCAGCTGCAACAGAGCACTAAAGATTGTTAATATTCTCAAAGCTTTTACGCTTCTTTTCGTAATACCACTGGGGCAGCAAGGACACAGTTTCTGTTCCAAAAAGGTGAGTACATAGCTAAAGCGAGCTCGCACACTATAATGACGACCAGTTTTGTGTGTCGCAATAACCGTAATGTTTCAATTTACGCTAATACTGACGGCAATAAGCCCGGTGATTTTTATTTTTTCAACCCGTTTTATGTGCGCAGCTGCCCTACGCTAAATTCTAGCCACTGGCACAAAGTAGGCAGAATTCTTATTTCGGGTAAAGCGTTTGCTTTTAAAAAGTTCTACTGTTTTTTACTTTTCCCGATAGAAGAAATTTCCTTTCATGTCTTCAAAGATCTGCTCTGCCGCTCATAAATGTTCGAAGCTCACCTGGTCGAATCGAACACACTGTAAACGCAGATTTGCAAGATCGGCATCACCACAGTATTGGAAAATCTTTACCAATAATTCATTTGGCATCCTCTCAATATAATTAATGTCCGGTCGCTTCACTGATTCCGAATAAGTTTTTCCGTAGGAAATTAATTCCAGCATAATTTTTAGCGGGAGCTCAAAGGGGTGTCGGATGAATCTGGAGGAAGAAGCATCCAGGAAATGTGGGTGGCGTCCACATCTTCTTAGCATCTGTAATTACGGTTGCGCAAATCACGGACAAAAACACTGAATGCCAGTGAGTAGTGCAAGATGGTTTTTGGAGGAATAATAAGCGGAAAGGTGGAAACAGGGAGTGGAGAGTGAAGATAAGTAGCATAGAGTGGGATAAAAATACAGTCATTTCAACTAATCTATGTCGTTCATTCGGCAGAGAAAGGCTGAATTATCGCAATTTCTGGAATGTGGCAAGTACGAACGTTAATCCTATGTATGTCTAAACAGACAGTAAAAATATTTGCCCTGGGCCGAAAAATCCTTCATTCAGCATGCGGCGCTTGCATTTCAGAA